CAATACACTTAAAAGTACACAAGAGAGTTCACTCTGGGGAAAAGCCATACAGCTGTACCGAATGTGGAAAGAGTTTTACTCAGGCAATACACTTAAAAGTACACAAGAGAGTTCACTCTGGGGAAAAACCATACAGCTGTACCGAATGTGGAAAGAGTTTCGCTCAGGCACCAAACTTAAAGATACATATGAGAATTCATTCTGGTGAGAAACCGTTCACTTGTACAGTATGTGGAAAGAGTTTTTCTGACATTAGTAACTTAAAAAAACATGTGAAAAAATGTTTTACTGATGTGTCATATTTAAGAAGACACCTTAAAGTGAACTTGGGGGAAAGATCTCATGGTTGCACTGTGTGCGGTAAGAAATTTTCTAGCACTAGTAACTTAAGAAAACACGAGAGAATCCATTCAATTGACAAAGGTGCTATAGTAAAAACAGATTTTAGACCTGAACTCTTGAAGAAAAGAAAATGAAAACATGCATCACACATACTGTGTTGTAAATGGGGACTAGAAATTTGTAAAACTTAAATTTATCACATTTGAAATATGTTCAAGTATTTTTGTGTACTTTATTGAAAATGTTTTCTGTGTAAGTGAAGTCCACTAGCCTTTTGTAAACAGTGACCAAGGTGGAATTACAATTATAAAATTCTCACAAAGCATAATCATGAACTTGTAACTGTTTAATTTGTTAATCTATCAATAAATACCTATTTTACCTATATACATTTTTTAATATTGTCCTTACTTTTGTTCTTTGGTTTTTTATGTTGTCTTTATATTTTTGTAAAGAACCTAAATACTTTTATATTTACTGCTAGAAAGGTTTTTGCATGGATTTTGTCTGTATCATACATGTAATGATGACTGGTATATATTTCATTAAGCATTCATGCCACTTAAGCATTTGAGCACATGCATTAAGCATCACCCAGTGAGTCCCTTTCAACTTTTTTTTCTCTCTGGAATCTTACAGAAACCCAGTACAGTTAGGGGATGAGAAATATAGGCATTTTTACCAATAATTTCAAAGGCGAGGTGTCACTTTTAAGTTTTACTCAATGCAAGTATATAATTTACTTTTTAAATCAATTTGCATTTTTGAACTTTTGATTTTTGAAATTTTTAAGACCTAAACTTTCTTGTCATCATTCAGTATTTTATTTTTTTTATTATTATTATTTTTTTTTTAAATTCATCTTAATTTAGTGTATTATCATTCTTAGTACTGACTTAACTTTGTTGTCATTGGGTACTGGCTTGGTTTTTTGCCTAAGGTGTCTTACTTGTGAATAATATTTGAACTAGTGTTGGAGGTGAAAACCTTTAGTGATGAACTGAAAATTTGTCATTAATGTCTGGGACTGTAATCATGTGTTTGACTGTTTCATTTTCTGTTAACATGAAAAGGTAAGTAATCTCTGAGGTGTTAAAGCATTATATGAGGTGTCACGCCCTGCATTCCTTTCCCCTTTGTTCTCTCCGCTCATTTGAGCCACACCTGTTACTTGTTTAATCTTTCCTCTCGTTACAGCCTCTGTGTGGATCACCCCAGGTGCCTCTTGTCTGCTCCCTCGTTAGTGGTATATACTGTATAGGGCCTCCCTGTCTTGAGCTCCCCAGTGTGCCCGGGTCTGATCCTACCCCATTTTGACCCCCTGTGATCCCTTTCCTTTTTCCTTGCTTATAGTTTTGTTTAATAAAGCCCTTTTCGATTTTCCCCATGCCTGCCTTCTCCTTCGTCTTTGCCCATGATGTGACACATGGATCAACCCTGGGGTTCCCCGGATGATGTCACGAAGCCAACACCCCCAGGGAAGCCCCGATCGGTGTGACCCTCCTGAATATGGTGCCCGCCCAGGTTACGTGCGTCTGCATTGGTATTTTTCTGGTTTTGGGTAGCTACGCCCTGACACCTTATTCTAATTGTTCTCATGAGTGGGAAGTATTTTAGTTCATCTGATGTGCTCTGATGCAAGATCTTCCTGATTTTTCTGGAGTTTTTGTGTTTTCCTATATCTCAGTAACTGCCTGCCTGTTTCCTGACCCTGCCTTTTGTCCATCGTCTGAGTCCTGATTCTCTCTCGCCCTCCAACTGTCCGACACTCATCACCTTACACTCGCACGTCTCTCGACCACGATTTCATTTGTGATTTGAATCCTGTTTTGGCATTCACTGGTTTAGACTCAGGTTCTGGACTATGGCTTTGATTGCTTCTGAATAAACTCTACTATTCTACCCTGTATCCATGCAAGTGTCCTCCTTTGCTGGTCGTCATACCTGACAGTGGCATTTACAGACATATAAATTGGTCCAAACAGCACAGAGAGAAAATATATATTATTTAAAGTTTTATACCATTTTTTCCTCCTCATTGCTCAAGAGGCCATGTAGAGTTTTCAAAACATGCATGTGTTACTTTTTATAAATTTACATTAAACTTCAGATGAATATAATCCGAAGACAGCATTACACATAATCAGGGGCGCCATATGGGGGGGCTGGGG